ACTGCACTGTACTGTATTTTGTTTCATATTTTTGTGGTTTAAAAAAAAATACATATGGTTCAGAACGGATTAACCATAATTACATTGAACCTTATGGGACAATTTGATTCAGGTTGCGACCACTTTGGGTCGTGACCAGAGTCGCGGAACGAATTAAGTTCGTGACCCAAGGTACCACTGTACTTACAGGATATTAACTGTGTGTTTAGTATATCAAGAATTGACTCTTTTCTCTGAGCTTCCCTCCATTCCTTTCCAAACATCACTTCTTACTGCCCTGGAGTCTTGTGGACAGTTACTTTTTATCTGAAGATTTACCATACTTGGCTGGAATACCTGTCCTGTCTTTTTTTATGAAATCAACTCATTGCAGAGAGAAATTCCATGCTAGGCTGGATTTCCTGGTGATATCCTTCACTAGCATGGAGAATCTTCTGGTTAACTAGAAGGAGGGTCCCAATGGCAAATATAGAATTAATGTAGACAGGAGAAAGATAACGCAAGATAATTGGAAGAAAAGACTCCAGGAATACTTGTGTCAAAATACGATTTCAGGAGCAAGGAAATAATATTTTGAAAGGAAATATCCAAATAATGAACAACTGCAGGTTAATTTGCTATAGAGTGTCAGTTCAAAAGAATGCTCAGACTGAGGCACAGAGAATAGGCAAGGATCTTAAATGGGATTGCAACGAGCATTTAAAGCAAGCACAGAAAATTGTCACCAGAAAATAAAAGTGGAAAGTCAGTAAAACACTACAAAGAGGGGAAAGCAAAGGAGACAGGAGAAGCAGCAGAAAAGAAGACTGGATTCTTCGTTGCTCTGGCCAGTGAAGTCTCTGCTTGCCAGCTCTCCAGAGAAAGGGACGTTTGGCTGCCTGGGTGACCCAGGAATGCTACACCTGTGGAGTGGGCGTTGAATGATGAGGTAACCAAGGAGGCTGTGGAAATGCATCTGTTTTCCAGCTGGAATATCTGAACATTTATTCAGGAGCTGGGCAGAGCTTCTCTTTCTAGTTCTCCCCATCTGATGTCAGGTATCCCCAGCACCCAGTAAGCTCGTTTCCTAGGCATGGATGGCCCTGCACACCTGAGAGGCTATTTTGCTTAGATGACCAGAATCCTAGAAGTAATTGGGTTTTCTGTATATTAAAATATACGTCTTGAGGATCAGTGGATTCACTTGGACGAGTAGGAAAGCCAACCGTTTGTGCCTTTTGTGCCATAAAACTCTAAACCACTTCAAAGGCTCAAAGAGAAAAGTTAAATAAAGTTTAATGCAGTACTTGACAGAGGCCTCATTTACACACTCTCCTTGCCCCGGCGCCAAGATGGCCTGCAAACTGTTTTTTGAGGACACATCCTCGCAATGGAACCTGCACCTTGGGGCCAGCTTGCCAACGAAGATCAGTGTGATCTAGCAGGATAGTGGCCTTATCCGCTGGAAGTGCAGTTCAAATTCCTGCGCAAGCATTCTGGTTTGCACAGAGGAGGACCCTGAGACAGGTCAGTGACCTGCAACGCTCCACTTGGCCCACAGCAGAACCATCTCCTCCTATCCAGCCATGGGGTTCTGTCCCTCCATGGCTGCTTCTGCTCTGGTTGCAAGAGGGAACAGAATCTCCCCAGCACCGATTTTCTTTTTCTTTTCTAGGCTCTGGTAGGAACACCAACCTCCTAGGAGGAGTTCCACAAGCATCTTCTCCTTACTAGTAATTTCCACCGCTTGGTTTTTCTCCTTTCTACAGCTGCAGAGGTTTGCTAGAAAGAACAAGTGAGAAGGAGGTAACCTTGCTGGAGAGCAGAAAATCTGGGGAGATAGGGACCCTTTGCCCTGACTGCTCCTCTTGCTGTCCCTGCCCCTGCTCTTACCTCCATCCTTCTACAGTAACCATTGACAGTTGCAGCTCCTTCCTTGCGTGCTGACCTCGTTTTGGAGGTATGGCAAGAAGAACACTTTGGGAGAAGTAGGTTCTCAAGCTGAGTGCTTTCCTCTTGTCTCAAGGGGAGGAAGAAAGCACATTGGTAGGGGTGTGGGGGAAAGTCCCCAGGAAGCAGAATCTTCAGTTCTTAAATTACTTCAAGAGAGTAAACTCTAGGAGGTCAAACCTCATCCTACCAAAAGCCACGTCCATCTGTCTGTCTGTCATGGTCTCTGCTAAAACAACCCTATAAAGGGGAAAACCTGTGTGGACTTCAACTCCCAGAATTCTCATGCTGGCTGGGGAATTCTGGGTGTTGAAGTCCACACATCTTAAAGTTCCCAAGGTTGAGAAACACTGACCTAGATTGTGTGGTTCTTGGGCCTAGAAATGCTTTCCTTTGGCTTGTTGGACTGTAATACGGGATCTTCTTTTTTTTTCCATTTCAGAGCAACTCCAGACTTTTCAGTTACAGCTTCTGAGAAGCCTTCCACACATTTGCAGATAAGTGAAGCTGTGCAATTGGCAGCCCGAGAAATTGGCCCAGAATGCTCCAGGGAGTGCTTCTCTCTGTCCCAGCATCCCCTGGCTTTCAGCATCATGACTCATAACAATGCCACTCTGGGTAGCTATTTGTCACAGCATCCTCTTTCTTTTTCTGAGCAAGTACCTGTGGAGCAAAGGAATTACAGTGATTGGCAAATGCCTCACGTTGACATAAATGCTAAAACCCTGGTCTCTGAGGAGGAGAATTCTGGAATGCTGTGTTCACAGATGTGGCAAAATCAGCAACTGGCCATGCAGCATCTTCCAAAAGAATGTTGGGGAACTGCGCCCAGCCAGGATATGTTCCTTTTGGACTGCAGTGTCCCAGCACCTGTCCTGCTGGAATTGCTGGAGGATGAGATGGGGTTACCTAAGCATGATGGCTTCTTATCTTCTGAAAGTTCTTCTTGTAAAAGTGCTTTGGGCAAGGATCCAGAAGAAAATGTAATTAGTCAGCTAATGGAGAATGTGGATCTGTCAGAGGACGCTCCAAAATTGTTTGTAGAACTGCATCAGTCTGAAGGCAAAACCACTCCTAAACCTGAGTCATCAAAACTGCTTTCTGATGCAGCAGGAAAGCTCTTTAGAAATGCCAGTGATTCAGAACGTTTATCTGCCAACCTTTCACCGGTGTTGGAATCCTCCAGGGGACATACGTTTGGTTGGAGTGATTCTTGCATGATTACTGATATATCTCCAACTCCTGTGCCAGACAACCAGCGTATGCAACAGAATTTTAAAAGCGTGTCTGAGGAAGAAAAAAGAAAGTTTGTTCCAGCTCCAGCTGACAATAAACTTCACGCTGCTATGCCCTTCTGGCCAATCACTGTGGCTGCAGAGCTCAGTAAGGAGATGAACACCATGAGAGAAACCTTGGCAAATGTGAACAAAAATGAACTAACGCTCTCCGACTGGAGTGTAGAGAGAGAGCACAGAAGTGCTGGAGTTTCACCTTTTAATGAGGGATCATTCTTTGTACATCTGGCTCATCCGATTCATCATTCTACCCCAGGGTTTTTTACAACCAGAAGCTTGAACCGCGAAGGCCCTGGTGTGGCCCTCCCTGCCAAATCAGTACTTCAGGCCCCTCTTTCTTGCTTACGTGAAGAGATTTCAAAGACTTCTTATGCCAATACACGCATTTCATCAGTGGAAGAGCCTTGTGTTCCGTCTGTGGAAGACCCCTGTCTGTTTCCCACTAAAAAGAGTTTTACATTTCACAGTGGCCAAGGCTTAAAAAATGAAAATAGCAGTGGTTCTGCAGTTTTGCCACCTCTTAAGGGTAGAATTCAGTCCTTGCCTTCTCTTAATTTTATGGAGAAAGTAGGAGCATGGGACCTGAGCCATTCAACTGAGAGGCTGCCAGATGCGTTGGCTTTACGTGGTTCAGATGGCATTTCTCCCAGGCAGAAGGCCTACGATGCTATTGCTGATTCCTTAAACTGCATCTTGGTAAAGCAACAGAGTCTGGTTGATCTTAAGGCAAGGCTGGCCACCCCTTTTTGTGGGCCAAGCTCCATGACCAGTCTTCACTCCTGTGATAACAAGTTTCCACATGCTTTACCATTTACCAGGTCTCAGTCTGAAACCTCAGTGATCGCAATGAGCAGAGAGATTTCAAGGGCAGAAATAGGTAATGAAACAAGACAGAATGATACTCTTAAACAAGCAGAAGTCAATAGCAATGTTTCGAGAGCTTCTAGAATTGAACAAACTGATGTGACTAACAAAGACTCTCTTAGCCAACATTATAAAGCTATTCCAGTCTCTGTTGTGTCCAGTGATGAGGAAAGTGTTGGTAAAGGAAGACATTCAGATCACCTTATTACAAGCAAAAGAGTTGCTGAACTCCTCAAAGAAGAAGCCAGTTCTCTCAGTGGTAGCAGAGAAGAATCTGAGGGCTCCGAAGAGAATGCAAGAGAATTGTCAGAGTGTTATTTTCATCCTGATCAGATGGAGATGGACTATTTTAGTGATGTTTCCCCGGACAATTTAAACCAAGTAACTGATTCCGGAACAGAAAGTTGTACTGACTTGAGGCTGTCTTCGAGGCAGTCTTCAGGATCTTCTGCTGTTTTTGGAAAGTTGCAGAACAGTTTGGAAGATGAATTATTACGAACTCCAAATCATGGCGAGCTCAATATAGAAGAGAGAATACCGGTAAGGCCCATCATCTTTGTCATTTTTTAATGTTTTAATGTTTTACTGTTGAATTCACTGCTGGGTTGCTTGAGTCACTACTGCGTGAACCTTTGTCTTAGAAGGCATATATATGAATTATTATATTTTTTTGTCTGCTACCATCATACTATATCTCCAGAGTTTTTTCTTACCTTTGCAGATTCTATGGATCTGCCTTATACTTGGACTATTATGTGGTGAATGCCAGCCTAATGGCCAGCCTGCAAGCCACGGGCAGACTTCCCTAATACACATTTTCAAGAGGGATGGCTGTCACGTACACAGAGAGACTTTCCAGCCATTCCCTCTGTTCAAGTGGTAGAAACATCTTTTTGCCCTTTGAAAACCAAAGCAGAGTTGCTGGACTGAGGCTGAGAAAAGAGAGGACTAACTCTGTTCCTCAGAATCTTGGATTAAACCCTGGAATTTCCGGGAAAAGGGGGGAAGTCCAGGAAATATGAAGCAGGATAAAAGAGACTTCAGGCGTCAGTCTGGAAGGAATAGGTGGCGAGTCTATAAAAGAATTTTGCAATGAAATTTTGAAGTGTCATTCTCTGTGTAGGGTAAATCTCCTATCATTTGTTTCTGAGCGCAGGCTCAGCAACAGTGTCTGTTTCATCTTGGTAGTTTTTAAATGCTGCTACTTGATTTGAAGAACTTTCTATTTATCTCTTTCAATAGGGAACATGGGCATTTTAATATCTAAATATTACAGTTTATCTTTTTAATCCTGTTAATAAAGGTTGGTTTATTATTTATCTTTGGAGTGGACTGAAACCTCTAGTCACACGCCTTGACATTATAAAACCCAGGTGGTGGGATTATAGGACTTTTTTTTTCTTTTAAAACTTTTTTAATGAAATGCAGTGCAGAGTTGAGAGCCCTGTCTCTCCCACCTCCTGGGATAAGGGGTGCACTCAAAGTGAGGCACCTCCTGGAACATAAGACAGTGACAGTAGGAACTATCAAGCTGCTACCCCAAAGCAGGGCCAGGATTGGGAAGATACAGAGTGCTCCTGAGACTTCCAGCCTTCCACCATATGGTCTCAGTTGGGCTTCTGCTACAGTCTGTCTAAATCAGTGTTTCTTAACCTTGGCAACTGTAAGATGTGTGAACTGCTGGCTGGGGAATTCTGGGAGTTGAAGTGCAGGCACCTTAAAGTTGCCACAGTTGAGAAACACTGGTATAAATGCTGATTGCTTTCATCACCTCTAGCTCTGCAGTTCCACAGACAAAATTTAGAATTTTGGGACTAGTAGCTGAAGAGTTGTGCACATCACCTTCTAGACCAATGTTTCTCAACCTCAGCAGCTTTAAGATATGTGGACTTCAACTCCCAGAATTCCCCAGCCATGCTGAATGCTGGCTGAGGAATT